TTTTGCAAATTTATGTTGTCGATACAAGAGAAAGACTAAATCAGACAGAGAGCTATGGGATATGAATTGAGATTCGCCAGTAAGATGAAGCGCGCCACCAGGTAAATCATAGTTCTATTTATCATAAATTGTGTATTGTGAGAATTATGAAATTGTAATTTTATATTCATGCATATGTTGCGAATATATTAATACGAGCAATTCGCTAAACCATTACGTAACTGACAACTGCAGATCATTTGCGGTTTGCACTGATATTAATTACAACCAGTGTACCGCACTTATTTGCTTATTTACAATGTATACCAGCTTATTATTAGCTCTATTATTACTTTAATTGATCTTGACTGCCAACAAAACTCTGACTGAATCATATACAGGAGCGTTGTCTCTTAAAACTTGAATTGTACTGATTTTATATCAATTTTGATTCGTACGTACTACGTTGTGGAGTGTGTATATATATAGGCTCTTCAAGACCTTCAAATGCATTACACTTCATTTAACTACATAACAAATTATCTCTGGGTTAAGTTTATTTTCAACGCGTCGACACCTTATTCATATTTTTTCTAGTTCATTATTGTTATAGCCACTGTACATAACAAAAGCATGGCTATAGTCAGAAATATTTAGTGTGAATATTCAACTACACTCATGCTGTGAAGATATATGAACAAACGACAACCTTGCCGCTTAGCTATTTCACAAAATGTTTTCTATTTTCCTTTGCAAGATAAGCGATCTTAAAGATGGCAAAGCAGGAAAGGCCAGACACGACAATTATATTGCATGTCTGAATATTATACAGAATATAATGGTTGGTTAATATTATATTAAAATTTTGACAAACTCGAACCGATTTCGTTGTGTGCAATTCTGCTTTTGCTAATTTATCTGGTTGGTTTCGCTGTCTGAAATTCAGCTAGTAGCCTACCTAAAATATATCTCAAAATATATTTTGACAAGCTCAAACCGACTTCGGTGTCTGAAATTCAGCTACACTCTACCTATCTCTAGGTGGTATTATATATGATTGTTTTGGCAAACTCAAACCGTTTTCGGTGTCTGAAATTCAGACACCCAAATTTATCTCAGTCTGCATGGTTGATGATTTTGACAAACTCAAACCGTTTTCGGTGTCTGAAATTCAGACACCCAAATTTATCTCAGTCTGCATGGTTGGTATTTATATATGATTTTGACAAACTCAAACCGTTTTCGGTGTCTGAAATTCAGACACCCAAATTTATCTCAGTCTGCATGGTTGGTATTTATATATGATTTTGACAAACTCAAACCGTTTTCGGTGTCTGAAATTCAGACACCCAAATTTATCTCAGTCTGCATGGTTAGTATTTATATATGATTTTGACAAACTCAAACCGTTTTCGGTGTCTGAAATTCAGACACCCAAATTTATCTCAGTCTGCATGGTTGGTATTTATATATGATTTTGACAAACTCAAACCGTTTTCGGTGTCTGAAATTCAGACACCGAATTATATTAATATCTGACAATGGTTGGTCTATTTATATATATGAGTGATAATCTGAATCCAGTTTAAGTCATGTAAGCATATGAATACTGCAAATTTTCACTTTAGCATTAATAATTTCAGAATGGTGTCTCGTTTAGACAAAAATGTTGTTTTTTTGCAGAGTCTCTGCCAAAAAATAGTATTTCGATTGGCTAAAATGAAATTTTCGCACTTTTTGTTATTTTTTTTAATTTTTGCAGAAAAAAAAATAGTTTGGAATTATTGAAAATAGTTTGGAACGCGTTCACACCGGGCAGGCTTGAAAAATATGCCTGGCCACGGTAGGAATCGAACCTACGATCTTTGAAATACTAGCCCAATGCTCTGCCAACTGAGCTACGCGGTCAGGTCGGCTCGAGTATGTGATATTTCGGGACCGAATCTAGTTCCTTTGATATCAATGTAATCTAATAATCATGATTTTTTCTGTGTTAGTGCAATGTATTCAGGTGAATATGATGCTTGTGGTGTTACTCTGAGTAACAGGCTAGAGATTCGCTAAAGAATCGTGAAACTCATTTTTATTTTATGCAAAGAAATCAAGTCATAACTAATAATTTTGTTATTAGTATAGTTATTAGTACAGTTTAACAGAAAATACCAATATTTTTATTGAATTTTAGATGGTTCTGACCTTTTAAAATTGTTGAATGTGAGCTCCCCACACACACACACACACACGCACACACACACACACACACACACACACACACACACACACACACACACACACACACACGAAAACTGTACATGAACGCGCGCGCGTGCGCGCGCGTTCATGTACAGTATATTCGTGGAATGTGATAAAGCACGTCGTCCATCGTGCTTTAACTCTGTCCTCCTTCTCAGCCTCCATAGTCCGGTTTATTCTGAAGACTTTGCAAAAAATATGAGGTTGGAACAAAACCTGCATAATCACAAACTTCCCTACATTTCTCTCAGAAAATTTGCGTTCATCATGTTTTATATAGCAAAAGTAAATTATTTTCTATTACGACATAAATTGATATCTTAAAAAATGATAATAATGAGTTCTTTAAAATAGAACAAATATTCTCCTTATCCTCTTTGCCTCATTGGTGAAGGGCAAGAAGGGCAGCTACCCCTCTTGTCTCCCCCACGGCCCTGTGTATTTGTAATGGTTAAAAGTTTTGATTGACGTAAATAGATTTAATAATATGTTCCTTAACTTTTAGCAAATTACAAAGCCACTTTTGGTACGTATGGTTTTGGTATTTACGAAGTACTTTTTCCAAATTGTGTTATCTGGCCACTTTCTATAATAACGTTCAACAAAATTCAGTACATACAATCAGTGTTGTAAATTCTCGTTACTAAAGTAATTCGTTACTAATTATTAATCACGACAATATATAATCGAACTAATTGGAGCAGTTCTTCCCCGGGCAATCTTTGCCGTCATTTTATGCGGTAATTCTATAATGTAAGCAATGAGAAAAAAGATTATATTTGGTGATTTCCAATAAAAGTATTGTAGCAATATGTCGTTACGTTATAACATATGTAGGTTCAATTTGAACAGAAAATTGTCATTGTCAGTTCAAAATGAATGCCATAAGTCTCACTATTCGCAAACAAGCTTGACAGGTAGCACAAAGACTGGTATATCTGGTCTCTCGCAGCCACTCTCAACTTTAAACAATCCGGCAAGACCAGGACCATAAACTTGCCAAACTGATCCATTCATTCTTGCGCCTGTTTTATGATCATCCCATAGGTTTTGGGATTTCAAAACGCCTGGAACCAGCAAATCTTCTCTAATGCAGGCGTATTTGGTGGTTAATGCAGTGGGCGGTTCTGAGTAGTTGCTAACAACAATATCCCCCAAGGCCACGTAGCCCTTCGGGGCAATGACTCTCCAAAACGAACCAGCCATCTTTCCTCCAGAACCCATATCATTCCATTTCAATTGGCAACATTCTGGCTGCCTTATGAAGTCGAGATCCAAAGGCTTTACCAGAATTACGGAGGATAGGGGTACATCTACCGACTCGGTTTGTCCAACTGCAACCTGGCCAATAAAATAGTAGCCTTCAGGAATTTCGTCCAGAGTGGCCTGAAAAACACTTATTCCTTTTGCTCCTCCAGTACCGCTATCACTGTACACCTTTTCTATCTTTGGCGCTGTTCTGATATCGAAAAGAATTTTCGTTATGTCCTTTATCAAAACAGAAAAAATAAGAGAGCATAATAAATATTATATAATAATTTTTATATAACTTTCCCATAGATATCTTATACAGCTGTTTCAATTAAGGTTGTCCACGAGCAAAGCGGAAAAGTCGAATACGAGCGCGAAAGGCTGCTGGGAATCGCTTTGAAAATTCATTAATTTGTTGGCGATTCCCTGCACCATTTCACGCTCGTACTCGACTTTTCCCGTTTTCCGATTTGCCCGTGGACATGCAACCTTAACTGAAATAGCTGTATACACTAGATAGCGCCGGCATCTGCTTTAGTAAAATTGAAGCCAAGAATATTCCAGCGGTTACCCCCATTTGAATAGGTGGCGGCCATGTTAGTGTTTCCAAATCGCTAATAAATGCTTAAAAAACGATAACTTTCATCATTTGATTAGTTTAAAAATGTATTTGGAATAAGTTTAACTTAATGTTTAAGTTTCCTGTTTAAGAAATAGAAAACATACCAATCTTCCAATTTCATGGGAATACCCTGAGCCTGCAATCACGGTTGAATTTTTGAATTGCAGAATAATTAGATGCGCCATTTAGTGTATATAAGATATCTATGGAAATTCCGGTTTTAAATTTTTTCATGAACATCCTTACTGCGTCAGCGCACTTGGTGGATCATAGCTACAATCACTTTCAGAAGTTGTTGGGAAACATGTAGTTTTAGTTTGTAAGTGGGTCATTATAGTTTTTTACACACAATACCGCTCCCCTCCCCTTCCCCCCACCCCAATCAATGTTGTTTAAACCAAAACACATCAAACCCGACGAGAAATGGGACACAACATTGAACAGGGGGCGGGGGGATTGTCGTTTGTTGAAATTCAAAGGTTTTGTGGCACCTGTCCCAAGACTTTTGAAACTGATTGTCTGAAAGGCAACTGAAAAGCATATTTAACCTCTTCGAATTACCGAGTGTTTTAGAATATCGGTTTTGCAAAAATCGTATAGCATTTAGTATAACATATTTACTGAATTGCACTGGCATATATAATGCTTTTATACTGTGCTTGTTGTGGTCAATACATTTGAAATGTAACATAATCCAACAGACTGAACAGTATATTATAAATGAGCTTATAAACAGATGTGATATGTGGGGAGGGACGTATGCTGAGAGATTAAACCTGCTCTATATGCAAGGGATAAAACACATCTATCTGGTTAATTATCGACCTAGGTTATTGCTAAATAAAATGCAAGGGTAAGTTATTGAAAACCACTTAAAGATTGTGCATATTTGACATGAAAATATGTATGTAATATAAAACGGTTTGAACACGTGCTCGATTGTCACTCGGTTGTCACTTTGAAACACATAGCATTTTCATTGATATAACTTTCAATTGTCGCGGGATAATAATTTTCAGAATATTAAGTACCAAGCAAAAGTGTTTAGGTAGCGCGTATTTATATATTACGGGTTCTACTTAATCACAAAGTGTATAAATTGTATAAAATGTATCGATTGACACTCAACTCTAGAAATATCACTATGATATATCAGATTTATTTATGTAGAAAAGTGTCAATCGATCCAAAACTTGGCTTAATCAATTTCAAACCCTTTCATTAATAGCAAATACATTGTTAGACATTCTCAACAAATTATTCTTAGCCTTGTTCTGATTTAAAAGCTGCCTAGTTGCCCATTATTTCATATTTCTATAGTGACAATCGAAGTGACAACCGATGTTAGTTTCATTGCATTCGTCTGGACCGGAAACGCGTATTAGCATAATTAGCGTATAACAATAACTTTGTGTTGTATAATGCGTACAACGCCGTATACAGCGAGTCCCTTTCGTTACATATTTTTGGAAGCCTGTGCAACTTTCTCGCTTCGGCGGGTCGCGCGCGCTAGTACTTGCTAACGCGTCAGCATTAGGGAGGTCTATAAGCCCTGGAGAAATCACGAAGTCCGGATCATTCTTTACCACGCCGTACCAATACGCTGAATAGTAATTTTTGGGATTGTCTGACTGAGTACAATTAAATGCCGAACTTACTCTTCTCGAGCTTTCCGATAGCTCGCCAACTTGATCTTGCGGACAATTTTTTAGCCATGTGGAAGTGACTATATATACTATATGATACCGCCCTTTCCATTAGCCTCCGAAATTCCCACCCACTGAGTGCTCCTTCGTACCCATGCGTCGACAATTATATCTGCAAATTCTGCTCTAGAAAGATGTGAAATGTCACATTCACTATTGGTGATAAAAATCAAACGTTCTTTGCCTTCGGAGTACCCGAATTAGCAGTTGACTCAGCCCTTACCCGCATGCGAAAGTGACCGGATGTTATAATACTATGCTATAAATTAACAGTATGTGTGACATATCTATTGTAAAACAATTGCGATACCTATCTTTATTGACGGACTATAACCTCTCAAATAACCTACTAGTGCTCTGCCAAAATTTGTAGAAACAAACAACGTATAAAACCTTTGTGATTAAGAATGCAATATGACATAACAAATTATATTCATATTCTGTTAATTATTAACTTTGAGAATTTTAATGAAACTTAATTGTTCTATAATGTCATTAGATGTTCTGTGAACGAAATGGAGCTGAAATACTTCGTTCGCAGAGCATTCTATTCCCTGTACTTTTGAAATGTACAATGATGTTATGGCATATGGGGCCCAGACAATCACTTTCAGAAGTTGTTGGGACACATGTAGTTTTAGTTTGTAAGTGGGTCATTATAGTTTTTTACACACAATACCGCTCCCCTCCCCCTCCCCCCACCCCAATCAATGTTGTTTAAACCAAAACACATCAAACCCGACGAAAAATGGGACACAACATTGAACAGGGGGCGGGGGGGATTGTCGTTTGTTGAAATTCAAAGGTTTTGTGGCATCTGTCCCAAGACTTTTGAAACTGATTGTAGTTACTGGTCCGAGCTGTGGTCATGAAAGTGATATTAACATAGACTTAGATAGTTTATTTGAACTTCCATGGCAGCATACACTGAATTGCAGAAGTTTTACATTATGATTAGATAGATCAACCGGACTGACGTGGAGCAGACCGAGGTAGACTTTGAGCTTACAAATGGCGCTTGAGCAGCCGCTATTAGTCCATACCTCATTAATGATCTGCCTTCAGACCTTATGTGCCTAACCCACCCTGTCAACTTTCCCTGTGGGAGGAAACACGGAGTACCCGGAGAAAACCCACGACTTTCGGCAGAGCGTTGACTTACTCTTTTCACATTAGGACTGGGATCGAGTCACAATGAGAAGTCCTCATTGAGATTCGAACCTGCGACCTGAGAGGTGAAAGGCAAGTAAACCACTTGGCCAACTGCTAATTTTACTAACTTATCAATTCCTTTCCAACTGCTAATTTTATTAACTTATGAATTCCTTTTCTAGGAAAAATATTAACACCTGTCACAGTTTGTAAAGACCTTGGTCTCACTTTAGATGCCACTCTGACATTTGACGATCATATCAATTCATTGACGTCGACCCTAACATCAAGTCTGTATCAAATCAACAGAGTTCGACGCTTGTTCAACAAGAATGCCTTGTTGGTCATGATAAACTGCCTAGTATTTAGCAAACTTTATTATTGCTCCACGGTTTGGTCTAGCACCACCCAAAAGAACGTTAAGAAACTACAACAAGTACAGAACTTTGCAGCACGAATCGTAACCGGAACTAGAAAGTATGATCACATCACCCCGGCTTTAGATAAGCTGGGATGGTTGTCAGTTAACGACTCTCTATTGTACCGTAATGCTATTATGATGTATAAAATAGTTCATGGTCTTGCACCTGCCTACCTTAGTTCCATGCTAGTAATCCGTTCGCAAGTTCATAATCACTTTACTAGGCAGGCAAATGACTTAAACATATTACGATGTAGAACATCTAAAGCTAAGCGATCCTTGTTTAATCATGCAGCACTGCTGTGGAACTCATTTGATCTTTCGACTCGAAACATTTCAACTCTATGAGGATTTAAGAAGGCCGTACGAACAGAGTTAATCAATAGACAGAATTCATTTTTAATAGTCCTCGTAATATACAGTAATTCTAGCTTAGCTACAGACAATCTATCTTTTTAACATAACTTCTAAATAATTGCATGTAAATATCATATTGCTACACTTCTTTGTAAGTTAGTTATGAAAAGCCCTTATGGGGATTAACTAATAAATCATATTGTATTGTATATTGTATTGTAATTTTACCCGAGGTCTTGATTAGGGAACGGTTACTTTAACTATATGCTAACAGAATTATAGCTAGGATGAACGCCAAACGTGATTGACTGGTTTGTATTCACGTGGCTTTAGATAAATGTATCCTGTCGGGCAACAAATGAAATATCCTGTCAGGCAACAAATGAAAAATTGTTGATCGCCCCGACTGGCTATACCATAGGCAGCCCACAACTGCTTGTAGAATGCACCAAAAGTCAAATTATATTAAGCTCACCCCATTCCTCTGTCATTGTCGCGCGCCGCAAGCAACTCGATGAAGTACATCATATACATTATACCTATATATACATTATACCTATAGTATGTATATATAGGTATAATGATATATATGAACAATGCTTTTCATTGAGTGCTTGCGGCGCGCGACAAATGACAGAGGAATGGGGCGTGCTTAATATAAATTGGCATTTGGAAGCATTTGGTCCATTTTACACGCAGTTTTGGCTGCCTATGGCTATACGTACATAAATAAACAAAATGGCAGCAAATTCGATAGTTTATAAACTCTCATTTTCCAAGTTTGTATTAAAATAAAGAAAGGAAAGAAAAGAAATATGCATAACAGGAAAGAGAATATGCTGTTGAAACCATTTAAATTAAATAGCTTCTTTTAATTTTATACTCGTTTACACTACATATAGAGTTGAATATAATTGTTGTATGAATGTTGTTGATTTTTTATTCGTCGTTATATAACAAAATACTTAGTGTCTGTTCCTTCGGGAAATACTTAGTTTTGTTTTCCTTCCTATCTCAATATTTCTCATTTTGTACAGAAAAAATATAAAAAAGTATAAAAATAATCCTGTTGCCATGGCGACGCACGACGCGAGCCTGCGTTCAGTGTTGGCCAATTACTAGTACTTCATGTTAAATCAATGTTTGCAAAATATAGGCGAGGGGGTTGCCGCAACTATGTAGTTTAAGTCAGAGTATTTTAAAATCAAGCTTATTGACAAATGACGGCGATGTAACTTACCTTGATTGTTTTCGGATTTCTTCCTTCCTCGTCTTTACGCCAGGTATTCTCCAGAATTTGTGCTGCTTCTCCAAAGTCGTCGCCAAGATTTCGTATTAACTCCCAGATTGGCAGGTAGGCATGTGGACAGCCGCGATCAATTAATGCCCAAGTTGAGTTATTCGCCAGTAATTTGACGAAGGTAGCCGGGTTTGTCGTTGCAGGACCCATTGCTTGGGAGGAGAAGGTGTAAGAAACGTCGTCGGTCTCTTTATCATGGCCCTCTGTTTCGCCGCCGCTGCTACTGTGCTCAGCACTGATGCTTGCGCCGATTCCAAACAATCCTCCAAGAAATCCAATAGATATTTGACTTTGGAGTTGTTGCGCTGCTTTCTCCGTCAATACGTTCGTCGCTTTTGTGCTTGAACTCTCTGCATCCACGATACGGAATAGAACACCACCAAGTGTATGGACACCTGCTGGAAAGTGGCTTCCGTAGCGTTCCATGAAGAGACGGGCGGTTCTTCCATCTTTAACGACAGTGCTTGCCATCTTTCTTGCGCTTGCACTTAATTTCAATTGCTCTTGTTCGATCTTGAACGTTTTTGTGGCAATCCAAATGTACTGTACCACTGACGCGCTGCTGGTGTGCGTTTTCTCTGATGTTGTTTTCTCTTTATAATTGAAACAAACGAAGATATACTTGTTAAATTGTAAACCTTTCAAAACCCGTCAAACACTTTGATGCAGCGCGCGCAACTTCTAAAACGAAAACGATAATTATAAGGACTGGCATACAGCAAGATACTTTCGCTCACCAGTAAAGCTTGATTCTAATGTGGATATACATACGTTGTACTTACGCAGAGTTCCTAAAGTACAAATCTTGATTCACGCAGAGCTATTTTATTATCCATGAAGTTCGCAAAAATCAGTACGCATCAATAAAATAAATATTTTCGCCGTACCTTCATCGCTTCTGGTTGCATAGCTTCCACTGACATTTCCAACAAACAAATCATAAAACCCACCAACGCTCAATCCAATATTACTACTTGAAGATTTTACTGTGTGAACGTAGTTTGCAGCAGCCCGGCTCTTGGAGAATTTCACGTATCTCACCTGTTGTGAATTGTTTGGACTGGATAGGATCAATTTATTGGGCATTACTATGATTGGTAGTTCGGCTGTTAGGGGAGGCACGTATTCAGAGTGATATATTCCACAAAGCGCACGACCAGCACTTGCCTTTCTGACAACTTCCAGCTCACTCTTGTAGGCTTCACTTACTTCGACAGCAATGTTTAGCTGCTTTATGATCGCGTCCAATTGTCCGAAAAGTTCTTTTGGCTTTTGTCCGATGTCTTGTTTATTCCAACTGGGGGGAAGTTGAAGTGTCTTCGTGATTTCGGACAGTTTCTCGTTCACGGCCTTCTTTGCTTCTTCTGATTCCTGTTTTGCCATTTCCTTTGCTTCGTTCATCAATGCTTTTGCTTTTTCGAGTTTCTCTGGATCAATAGATTTTTTGCTTCCCTCCTTTGCACCAAATTCTTGAACATCTTGAGCAGCGGCTATCTGTCTAGTACGAGATTCTGCAAATTTTACCAGACGATTTACATCTTCTCTTTCTCCATGACTACCTCCCTTGCAAAGTTTCTAAATGTAACAAAAGTAGCCATGTAAGGTAGTATATATGTAAGGTACAATCTGTTTCAACATGCATATACAACAAAAGTTATAATACCAAGATCCTATTTCAAATTTTATGCACGAATTTAAAGTATTTTCGTGTTTACGGCGCCATTTGTAGATTTTCGTGTTTACGGCGCCATTTGCGGCCCAATCTTACCCTGTGTTATTAATTTATTACGTTATATCTTTATATAAATAGTATATTGAAAATCATATACTAGAAAATCCTGTGTTATTAATTTATTACGTTATATCTTTATATAATAGTATAATGAAAAGCACTTACAAGTGTTTCCTGAAAGATTTTAACGAGAACTGGCCAAGATTGGCGTTGACAAGAGTTGGGGTTGACATGAGGATTAACAGCAAGAACTCCGAGGTTCGTGATCGATCTGAATTCATGGCCTTCAAATTCGAATTACACGCAGCATTGTCATTGGTCGGCTTTCAAAACAACAACAAGCCATTCTTCCGATCTATTCGCTAACTCCCCAAACGTTCGCTCTCTTACCGGAAATGTCCTGTTGTTGTTTTGAAAGCCGACCAATGACAATGCAGCGTGTAATTCGAATTTGAAGCCCATGAATTCAGATCGATCACGAACCTCGGAATATTAGACATTTGTAAGTTTCAATTGGCATTTTCTGCAGGAAGATTATTGTTCAATTCTGTTAAAGAAAAGTATATTATGTAAAAATTATCGCTCTTCCGATATAACGTAATTTGGCGACGATGCGACAGCCGAAGTTCGCGTTATTCGATTGATTTCTGTCAGCGTTTGTCCCAATTAGTCCAATTAACGGTCAAAGTGACCAGCCTTGTATTATTTCTTGCTGTTAATCCTCATGTCAACCCCAACTCTTGTCAACGCCAATCTTGGCCGGTTGTCGTTAAAGTCTTTCAGGAAACACATGTAAGTGCCAATCTTGGCCGGTTGTCGTTAAAGTCTTTCAGGAAACACATGTAAGTGCTTTTCATTATACTATTATATAAAGATATAACGTAATAAATTAATAACACAGGATTTTCTAATGATTTTCAATATACTATTTATATAAAGATATAACGTAATAAATTAATAACACAGGGTAAGATTGGGCCGCCTGTGAATTTTCTAATGATTTTCAATATACTATTTATATAAAGATATAACGTAATAAATTAATAACACAGGGTAAGATTGGGCCGCCTGTGAATATATGAATTATTAATAAATTAATTATTTTCGGAAAATCACGCCGTTTAAGAGCAACTGCCTGTAAAAACCGAGAATCTCAAGTCAAATGAAAAAATTCGAATTTTTTTTATTTCACCAAATTAACCCATTTAGTGTTCCTACAATGGAAAAAAAATACTAAAAAGCTGCTGTGATTTTTTCGTAAGATTTTTACAAAATCTTGATTTCGCGGGTAATGAGTTTAAATTTTCATGCTCGAAACGGCTGACATTTAAACCAAATTCATGAAACGACTGACGGCTAAGTATGAAACCGATGAACTCCATATTCCTAACATGTTTCAAGGTACTATTAGAGTTTGCTATCTGACTGTTATTACGATCCTAAATTTAACTGTTATTTTATTATGAATTTTTTTAAGCGACCCCTTTTCGAAGCCTCGCAAAATATACAAAAAATGGCCAAGTTTAATGGGTGTAAAACGTTCCTGGTACCTAAAAGTTTAAAAGAAAAATTACAGCATCTAAAAGCCTGATTATTACTTGCTATGTCACAAAAGTTTCATGCTTGGAATCGAAGTGGTTTTACATTTACAAATAAAAGTGTGAAGTAAGGTATACCTAATTAGGATGTCACGCCAACCGGCGCGTATAGCTAAACAGACGTCTAGCCATGGAAATAACTGATAGTTAAAACATTCTTGAGAACCAAGTATGGTAGTTATAGCGTAAGAATACAAAGAATATGACTACGAATGCAAGTTGCGAGATTTTGAGCTTTTAAACTGATAAAACCGGAGTCATGAAGTACTAGATGTCTTCAATACACCGATCTGCATGGCTCGCTTAAAGGCCTGATTCCACGAGGCGGAATTTTTTCGACCGAAACGAAATTTCTCTTTGTCTTTTCACAATTAGTTCTGCTCGAGAACAGGGTGGACTTTCGTCGACGCTGCATGAAAATAGTGCGGGCTCGTGAGCTTTTTCCCGCAAATTTTGCTTTTCGATGTTTTGCTTACAATTTCTAAAGATGTTGAAGTTTACAGCATTGTGATTCACTGGCTTTTGAAAGCATCGAGGGTTTTTTCGTTGGAACTTGCAGGCTAACTCTTCAACAACCTAATGACTGTTTTTAAAGCAAAGCAATTGAAAGGAAAACTTATATTTTCATACGAAGAAGATGAGTGGCGACATTTATGTTGGACTGTTTTGAGCAGATGCTTCGAAGAACATGATATAATCGGACCTTGTATCTTAAAAGTGTACTTGGAACAGCCGAACAAAGTGGTAAATCTTGTTACCCGGTCTGTTGGGCATCATAATTCACAGGAATAGTGCACAGCAGGGTTTAAACTGGCTATGAAATATCCTGAATACTTCGTCGAGTTCTCTACCGCCATGTGACCTGTAGTTTAATGTGACACGCGTCTTTGGAAGGGCTTTACTTGACTTTAATCGACGTGTTAGGTATAATTTAGGTAAGCCAACATTTCTTTGTAATGCAAGCTACATTTTCATCTCTTTAATGTGTGAATATTTTTAATTTTGTAAAAAATTAATCGCAATATGTTGTTGGAAAAAGTATTGAGTGCTTCATAATAGCGTTCAGATCTTGTATACAGATATTCGTATTTTATTCAAAATCTACCCTTTATCACCACTTTTTTTATTCTTTTATGTTAAAGTATGCATAATCCTTGACTTAAAAACACGATGATCTACTCGAGGAAAATTGGGCAAAGGGGCGATCTTTGCAGAAAAACTTGACCGTTCGGTGAAATTGGTAGTTCAGAGACCCTATTTTCATTGTAGTATTTCGTGGCAATTTGTTGGCCGATTTCTAGTTTATATTGTAGAACGGGTTCCTAGTGAGTTAAATCAACTGTCTATCCTCTACAGAGTAGTAATAAGCGCGTCTCCTTTTTGTTGACGGATGTTGAATTCATTTTGGACTCTTGTTCATAAACAAGAACTACACTACCGAGTACTAAATCACTGTTTGCAAAGAAATGAGCCTATATCACCACAAAAATTCAAGCTTATTTTTGGAGTCAAATAGTTTCTCCACGGATAGAAGTAGTTTTTATGTAGTGAAAAATAGGGCAAGTACGAATTTAAAGAAGGTCAATTTGCACTTGTATATCTCACTTCGAAAAGGATATACATATTAAAAACAGGTATATTTGCACTGCGAAATTAGACTGCTGCAACAATGTTTTTATTTCTACTTTCACGTTCTTATTCCAAAGCAAACACTTCTAAGTTGAAAATGCCTAAAATTGTGAGCGTAGAAACACTAAAAAAACAAGAAAACGACTTCATAACACGAGTAGTTTTTGCAAATTTGATGTTTGTTTTTATAATTCAGTCACGCGATTAGCCCGCGCTCACGTGCACTCCACGCTTACGTTTCTCGCGCATGCGTAGACGGAAGTCCACCCTGTTCTGCTCGAGAGTTCATGAAACAAAGAGAAATTTCGATTCGGTCGAAAAATTTCGCCTAGTGGAAAACCGCCTTAAGCGGGATGAGTATTATTGCTCCGTTCATGCACGCGAATATATTGCTGCAAATAAGATTTTCTCGACAGATTTCAATTTAATAACGTCTCTGCAGTGAACACGATTTAGACTGAGGGCGATAACCGTGCAAGTTTCTCGCGAAATTAAGTGTGGAATTTCATGTTGGTGACAAAATATATTTATAATTATATTATACTATTTATATAGCGGTGAGCCAAGCCCGCGTTAAAAGCAAAGTTCTGTGCTTAAATCGCATGTAAACACGGCCTAAAATTACCTCCGGTACCTGGGCAATTGGACTAAAACTGGATCTTATTTCAGTTTTGTGCAATATTTATTTGTACTCGTGCATATACGGTAATAAAGTACAGTGTCAGTGTAACCAAGCTGCCTTCCGAGTTAATCGCTATAGTATAGTATAGTAAGATGGCATCGTGCGTTTAATCCTTGCTTTTAGAAATGCGGACAGTTGTGAGATTAAGTATAGGTTATTTTGAGGCAACGAGGGGATATGTGATTTATTCACCGAGGCGCGCAGCGCCGAGGTGAATAAACACATATCCCCGAGGTGCCTCAAAATAACGTACTTATTTTTCACACTGCAAGGTCGCGTTAACAGTGGCGTGCTGGCCCGTGTTCGCCAGGGGAGGCCAGCTGGGAATTTGGCGCCCCCTTTCGTCCTTGCAATCTGCATATGGCGAGCGTCATAGACACGAGATGCGCATGGGGGTCTGGGGCGTGCCCTTGGAAAATTTGGAAATAATAGTGCCTGAAAAGCCATTTCTTGCGTTTTGACAAAATATTTAGATCAATAAACTGCAAATGCATTGAGAAGTAAAGGTATAAGTTTTTTTGGATATGTGGATATACACCAAATAGGAAATTGGTAAACGACTGAACGAAACTGTGTGCGAGAGATATTATTGATTAATGTTCACATAGTTTTATAGTTCTACGAATTAATAAGGACAAAGTTTCATTAGAAAAAATGTTAATTTACAAAAGTGCTTTTGATAGTTGCATTGACGTCTTTGCAAAGACGTCAATAATGCGCTCTTTGTCCAGAGAATGTAAAATTCCCCGCTCAACAGCCATCAAAAGTAAGGCTTCCAATCGTCCTTGCAACATGGTTGCCCGAATTCGAGTTTTCACTCGCTTAAGTGCTGAGAATGAGCGCTCAGCAGTGGCAGAACTGATGGGGATTGCAACCGCAATCGCGTACACTTTACAAAGTGTGGGATATGCATCGACCAGGTGGTAATCGGGATGCGACAGGATTCTCAGGGCCTCAAGAAAAGATGGTACATCTTTTTTCCGAGCTGTGTCGTATGAGGTGTCTTCGTCTGATTCTTCATCTTGATCTGAGTCATCATGATCGTTCTCATCATAATATTCTTCTTCAGAATCAGAGCCATCGACTTCGTCAAAATCCTCCTTTCTTTCTTTGGGAAAAACGAAAAGAGAGCGGTTGAACTTCGAGAATGAAGGTGCAAAGGTAAACAGCTGTTCGGCGCAGCGCGAAGGATCGATGCGATATGTCGTGCAGAAACTGGTTATGCTGGCTTCCAAGTCGCGGGCATTTTGGAAGTTCTCCACAAGCTCGGGGAAGCCACTTGGAGAAAACATTGCAAGCGACTGCAATAATGGCCGGTTCTTCTCGAAACGATTTCTCATCGAATTGATGACGGTGTCAACAGCAACATGGAATGTTTCGCGTTTCCAGTGAGCAAAGGGTGTCGCCTCTGGTTCATCTCTAGCAATCTCACCATCCATTACTCTTCGACTTCTCACCCTGGTTTCTTTCCATTCAACTGGACCGCACTCATTGTCACAAATTCTAATTATCTCTTCTGGTTCGCTACGTAATCTTTGAAGTTGAGAAAGAGAGCTGTCGATCATAGCTAACGCTTTACCAAGATCTACATTAACACTTTGTAAGTATCGACTTAGAGGGCCCGTAATTACGAAAATTTCACGGAAAAGATAAGCTGTTGCCATAATTTGCTTTTTCTCGAACGATTCAAAAAGTCCCCCGGCAGTTGCTCTCTGCTTGCTCGAAAATGAAGTTCCTGCAACAACGTCTTCAAGAACTTTCATAACGCAATCGTATCGTAAAAGAAAGACTTTAAGGCTGAACTCACGAGAATTCCAACGGACTGTATTGATACGCTTCAACGAAAGGACTTTGAGCTTCTGAACTTTCTGAGCAGATTCAAACATCGAGTGAATTTTTTCAGATTGACTGAAAAGGGTGTACGTTTTCTCCAGATCGCTGAACAAAGTGATGACGTTAATGGCGGTACCGGCAGAATCTGACAAGACCAAGTTGAGAGTGTGAGCATAACAATGAGTGTATACTATATGACTACCGATTTCATCTCTAAAGATTGCTTGCAGCCCGTTATAACAACCACTCATATTTGAAGCTCCATCATACGTCTGCGCAACTATTTTACCAAAGGTAACACCTCGAGACTTTAGTGCGTCTACAATGGTGTCGTAGAGCTGTTGTGCAGTTGCTCCAGGTGCTCTTTTGCAACACAACAAATGCTCAGAACAGTAACCGACACGATCAACTATTCTGACACAAATGCTAAGCTGTTCATGGTGGCTAACGTCAGGCGTGGTATCAGCTATCAAAGCCCAAGCTTTGCACTCATGGATTCTCTTTACTATCTCACCGGTAATCTCCTTTCCGATGACATCAATGACGTTGTTTTGCGTCTTGTTACTAAGAAACGTGATTTTCGACCCACGACCTTTCACCATTTTGGCTGCGTTGGTTCCTGATCGCCCTCCAACCTTTGCTATTGCTTCATGCTTCTTGCGGATTTTTCAAGATGGTCACGGATGGCAACATCGTATGCAGACAAGTACTTCAACACCTCCAAGAAGTTTCCCGTGTTTAACACTTCGCTTCAAGTGATTCTCGATGGCCTCTAAATGCAAGTCCTTGCTTCCCAAGAAGAATTATAGTATCTACGACTCGCGTCATTATATTCCGATTGCCAGTAACTTCCACCTTTCTTCGTGCTGCTTCGTCATGTTCTTGGTGCTCCAGGCATGACGCTATAGTTTTCTCTTGCAAGAAAAGCACCTCTGCAACTTTAGCATTTGCGTGAGCTGCCGACATCTCGTGGTTTTTCACAACGCTGTGTTGTTTCTTCCAGTTGCAAAATCCGGCAAACGTGAAGGCGTTTCCTTGACTCGTGCGTGCTAACTCACCCCGTGACAATGCATTTGTGAACAGAAGACAAGGCATACAAAATAGGCTATCCGTGCTCAATGAATAGGAAATCCATTTCCGTCTTGTGTCATCATCATGAAAAAATATTTGCTGTGAACAATATCTGGAACGCTCTCCTAACTGCTTCGTTCTCAATTTTAATATTTGCTGACTTGGTTGGCAAGGCTCCATTTTTATTAATTGTTCTTTCTCTTCTGTGCTTAACTTTAAGCCAACAAGTGACGCAGGATCCAATGTTCCACTGACTTCATCAACAACGATATTTGGATTCGAAAGAAATTCCCTGGTTTTTGGATGTTTCTCTTGACAGTGGCTTGGTTCCTCGACACTATCTTCACTATCTTTTTCTTGCAATGTCTCTTCGACATCCCGATCTTTCCCGAATTCTTGATTAACTTCTATTTTTCGACTTTCCTCGCCTTGCTCTTCTAGTTTATGTTTATCGATCACATCCAAATCTTTTTCTGTGTCTGGTGAATCCACTCCAGATACTTGTTCGACTTGAAATATCGAGCTTTGTGAGGTTCCAGGGGTTTCACTTTCACCGCATTCACCCAATTTTTCCTGGACAGTTTTTTCTTTATTCTCACGCTTCCCATCTTCCGTTTGGAAGTACTTTAGCATGAAGGAACCAAGCTGCTTATTCTCATGTTGCCTAGCTTTCTTTGCTTTTCTGAATTCAGCTCCAGACTTTTTTCTTTTAGATGATGGTTTGTTGTCGGACATGGCTACAGGTTATAGTAGCAATATAGCATGAGATCAGATTAGAACTTATAAACGTTCAAAATCACACTAAGTTAATGTTTAAAACTGGGAGGCTTGGAATCAGATTTCCAAATATAAATTTTGTCAATGGCGAGAAGTTGTGGACATAGACACGTAATAAATATGTTAAATCAGACGCGGCTACCAGTTCCTCGTATCCATGATTGAAAACAAAAATTCGAATTTATTCATCCGCTTCGGTTTGAATTGTAATGCGGATATACCATATCAATATATTCCGTGTAAATCAGACGTGTCGATAAGGCTGAGGAAAATCGTAGCTAGTGTAATAGAAAACAATGGACAAAACGTATGATTGGGGGATGTCCAGTTTCCTTGTTTGGCCCGAAAATGTGAAATTCGTATCAAAATAATTTGTCGAGGAGTAATGCAAAGCCATTGTAATGATGGGACACCAAATTATAAACTATAAAGTTGAGCTTCTCCCCTAAAAGTCCACAATTTCTCGCCATGCACAGGCTGAAGTGAGTGAAGTATTGAACAACGCATCCAAAAATGCATCACATGCTCATTGCCTCAACTTAATTCGTTGTCATTCTAGTCGATTTACAGGCGTCACCTAGCGCTTGGCAGCTGACCTTTGACTAATTGACTTTGCCCTGGGCATCTGGCTATACCATGTATATAATATATATGGCCTTTGGCTATAGTCGGTCCCTCGCTATAATATAGTCGATTAATTTCAAGTGTCAATTCAATGATTTCAATCTAATCAATGAATTATTATTTATGAAAGTACGAGTTGTCGTCGAGTGAATACTGAATATAGCGCACCAGCGGTACCGGCGAAGTGCAATATGCTGGCGGCGTTTCACAATCACAAGAATCAAGTTAAATGTATTAGGCCAATGGAACTGTAGATTCTGTTTACCGTCCGAGAATTTAAAAAATCTGATGCGGGTTTTTTTCATTATTCATTTTTCATTATTTTTGTTATTGTCTATTTTCCGACCAAAAATGATCCTTAAATCGTTTTCTTTTGATTTCGACCATCAACACTTTTGTCCAGCATTCTTTTATCATTTTTGGGCTTTCCTTCGCTGAAACTAATTTCTTTGTCACGCCATTGTTTTCGAATTTGCACATCGCGAATTTCCGAGTGTACCGAACAAATGCTGACTGATCCATCATACATCAGCGATGTACGGCTTTTTATATCGAAGATTTGATGATTTGATGTATATTTGAAAGTTTCGATGAGTAGAATTAAAAATAATGACAAATAATGAAAATAACTAAGAATAATGAAAAATTCTTTCGGTAGTTTCAAGCACATGCGGGCGGTGGACGGTAAACAGAATTTACAGTTCCATTGGCCTAATATATAATAATATGAGGAGTTAGGAGTGAGCCGTTTTTAAATAATTAAATCACTACATTAAACAACTTCGAGTGCACGATATAGCTTCTCAAACAAACCAATATTTAAGGTTACAGAACACCGTTGAGTGTTAATTTTGTCTAAAATTTTTTTATTGGTTTCCATGAAGGCATTAGACTAGTTCTACTTTGAACGAAAAATGTTAAAAACTCGCAGAGTTATTTAATCGAATACATTTCGCTGCAATAAGAAAAACATTGAAAATGTAGTATTCAAATTCAATTTTCTCCTGAAAAAGTTTACGGTAGGACATAGCTAAAGACGTCAGTTTCAAAATTGTGTTCGGCTTTTTTTTAATTTTGGATATTTTAAAAATAAAGAGCAATTCACTCAAACAATTCAGAAATATATTGCAGTCGTCAAAGAAATCGCCATATCAGCGGAATGACAAAATAAACAAAAATTTCCGAACACAATTTTTTAGAACAACCATTTTACTGTATAAAAATGATATTTTCATAAATATAACTTAAAACCAGCAAGAGCACAACTCAAAAGCGTAACGGTATCGCGATTTAAGATTTTCCTGAATAATTCTTACATTATTTTATTGTTTGTTAATTTTACAAGTTTGCCATATTTTGCATGCATTGGAGAACATTTGGTGAAAATTTGATGAAAATCGGACTGATATTGAGCGCGCAGTAGCGATTTTCCGCAAAGCGCCAAAAAGGGTGTCCTGTAACCTTAAAGATAGTCTCCTTCGCAGCCGCTCTCCCCCCACGAGCGGCTGCTCACTCGAGCACAACATTCCATTCCCTTTGTCTAACGTTAGCCAATCAGAGTTAGCGTAATATAATATCTTAATAAATTTTCCCGCGAATTCTCAGTATCAATTCCAGGTTTAATATAAATGCTTTTTATATGCAACATTTGTCAATTTGATCATTAATTTGAATGTATTTTTTTATGGATGGATGAAACTCCAAAAAAGTTAAAACACGACTCGAACTGTTTTATTTGTTTAAATAATATACAACCACAGGAGCGGATTAAAATATTTGGGTCAACTGCAGCTGACATTCCTAATCTTATAAATAATTCAATAAACATCGACTATCATGTTACAAAAGTTCCGGAGCTTTCATATGCATGAAGTGTTACAAACATTACTTAAGTACGATAAGGCTGTAACCAATGTTGAAAAATTGAAGAAGGAACTAAAGGAAATTTACACAGCAGTAAGTTGCTATCGACGATTTAAAAGGCAACATCGATCTGCTGAAACATCGAGTATTCAACAAGAACCTCTAAGCAAGACGTCACATGGGAAACAACTGAAATTTGACAATCAAGTCGTGGGAGAACCTACCAAATGTGTTTCCTATATTTCCACTCCTACCGGTGATACAAATCTTGTCAGTCCTTTGCCGCAGTACTACAATGGTCCACTACAACTTGTTTACAACGCATTTGGTTTGCCTGCTCAGCCTAGTATATCAACTGGTCAAATATTATCTCGACATCTGTACCCCAGGTCACTAAACCTTCCCGCGAGAAAAATTCGTTAAACAAAACCAATACGAACGTTACAATAACAGTGGAATATCCTAGTAAGACTGTCAATAAAACCCTCACATCAGAGTTCGAAGGTATTGGAAAAGCAATAGTCCATGGTCCTCCTTCGAGAATTGCCAAGGCAGTTTTTAAATGCGAATCCATCAGAACGCTTGTGATTGAACAGGTGTTGCGTGCTGTTTCCAACGAAGTGGACAACTTGTGTTCTAAAAGAGATCCCTCCCTGTTAAGAAAAAATGAAAAGGATGACCTTATAAACTATGATATGCTTAAATTGTGTGAAGAATGGAAAAGAAGAGCCCCAATATTTTATGCATTCCTTTTAACATGTAGTACCTCAAAACGTCACATTCATCATAGTACATGGTTCCCAAGTATTGCCGTATCAGGATCTATACTCTTGAAGCAGCGTAATAACCATATGAGTGCAACAGCCATTGTCATTGGATTACTTTTGAAAACAAAGTCTATCGAGGTATGAACTTGGATTTTTATATGTATATTATAAATATTTTGTTTTATGCATATCAGAGTTTGGCTATAAATCTTTTTTAATATCTTCACCCTATATATCTACTATTCTACTGTACCATTCGCTCTGGATAAAAACAATTTCAGGATGTGTTACTGTATTAGTGTATCTGCACTCCTGTTCATATAACTATAAGAATATTTTTTAAAACACAAGCTAGGTTGCACAAAGAGAGCCCCCCAATTAAAGTCCCTAATAATGTTCTACATGTACAGTATATTCCTACTCCTAGCCTGGATCACATGGTGTTATATTACTAGCCTGTAGCAGAGAGTACAGGCATAAAACTTATGATCCTGCTGGGTAATCGTTCCATGTTTCGCGCACCAATATAGTAAACGTTATGTAATGGATATTATAGTGTACTGAAAAGTTCACTAGATACCTCCATACACATATAACACACCCTAACCCTAACCCCAACTTTAAACCTAACCCCTAACCTTAATACCTAACCTATATTGGTGCGCGAAACATGGATAAACCTAACCCCTAACCTTAATACCTAACCTATATTGGTGCGTGAAACATGGAATGATAACCGCCTGCTTTTTAACATGACTGAACAATGTTTTGCTGAACAATATTGTTGAATCTGAATCCGGGTGTAACAATGTTGTTCAATATTGTTGACAGCTGTGAATAATGTGAGTAAACATGGTTCAATCCTGTTTTCATAATTTATCCTTCGCTAATTGCACAGTCAAACAGCAGCATTTTTACCTCAGTTTGTATCCTCATCTGTGATATTAAATCTGAGTTGCATATCTAAGTTAAGCTTTCTAAAACTGGATTTTGTTTTTTTTTGTTATAGGCAACCCTGAACAGATTTAGTAAGTTGAAGCTTGCTACATCAAATTATCGTACCTTATTAAAGCTAGAAGCAATTGGCCAGTCTCATGATATCCGTCTGCATGAAGTCAAGGACATAATAGTCAATGAACATAAAGCAATAGAGAAGAAAAAACAGGAAGTTAATGAGTTGAAAACAATTTTGGCTGAGCAAGACGTGGAATCTAAACATGATCATCAGCAAGAATCTGTTTCATCTAAGCTTAAGAAAGCCGCCACTGAGTTGAAGGATGCACAAAGAAAATGTCACCCTGGTTTTTTGATTGCTTTTGACAATATTGACTTTCATCTGAAAAGAAGAAATATGACAATGACATCACAAAACAGGGACATACACTGGGTAAATCATGTTATGATTGAGAATAGGGTGTCTGGCAACCATTTGTCATCCAAAGGACCAAAAGCTGATATTTATGATATACCAAACATCATTTTCCTTCCCAGTGTTGTTGATCAAAGACAGCAGAGGCTCAATTATACTGTTCTGGTGTCGAGGATATTATCTGACTATTTTGATGCATTTGCTGAGTTCAAAGATGTGTGTGTTAAACATATACCACATAAATACAGCAAAGAAATGTCTGAAAAATCAGATAAGGTTAGTTCAAAACAATGGTACTAATTGGCACATTGGAAGATATTATCCATTCTGTGGTGTTAGCTGGCAGGTGTCCGGTTGTTGAGTAATGGGGGCATCCAAGCCTGGGGCCCCTGGTAAAATGACCACAAAATTTTTGCCAGTACATTTCCAATAAATTGAATAATGAAAAACAGTTAATAAAATACATGAATTAATTATTACAACAAGGATACTTCTCATATACCTTTTTAACCTAGGATTTTCATTGTTTCAAAAGAAAGGGCGGAAAAAGCTTTGGCACTGCATTAGGGTTAAAGACTTTCACACATAACAGGAGGGACGAAGCAAAATGTTAGTGGGGTTTAACACTCTATGAGAGGGGTTTTAGAGAGATTCTAGGGGGGTTAATCCCCCTCCCCCCAGTAAATCCACCCCCATGATTATTAGCATTTTGAGTATGCGCTACAAGATGGTCTGGTTAATTGATAAATTAAGTGAGTCGTTTCATCTAATTTAAGTATATCTCTTTTTGTAGACCCCACTGGGAATCATATTTAAGAATGAAAATGTCAATGACGAAATGTTGTCAATTTTGCAACAATTTCATAAATATCTTCCAGATATTGGGGAGGATAAGTTTGATGGGGAGTTATTTGCTGGAGACCAGCTCACTGTTGAGAGAGCAGTAAATATAATTTCTTCAGTTTCTAATGGTTATTCTGCAGAAGCAAGACTTGAAGGCATGCATTTTCAACTAGGTGATTGGCATGCAGCTGTCAAATTCCTTGATGTAAGTATAATGTAACCATTAACTTTTATATGTATAGGTAATCATGCGATGGCGAGTACAATTAGGGATTAATTGTATGAGTGATGTTTGGAAATTTAGCCAAAATTGGACAAGCCGCCGGGGCGAGTCCAATTTGGCAAATTTCCAAACATCACGAGTACTATTAATCCCTAATTGTACGAGCAACATCACATGATTACTTGTTTATTATTAGGGAGTGGTCATTATTTATGGGGAGGGGGGGAATGGGAGGGGGGGGAAACGAAGTTTTACCCTTATAAATAGGGGGGGGGTAAAAAAAGTTTTAACACAGAGAAAGTGGGGGGGGGTCAAAAAAGTTTTTGAACTTAAAAGAAGACTCTGAAAATGCTATTTCCAATGATCTAGAGACTCAAAATTTCCCTGCTCGGTGCCAACCATGGTAGTGCCTTGCAATTGTGGGAGTCGGGCCCACTAAGTTTAAGCTTCCTAACCCCTGAGTAACCCAGTTGTGGTATTTACATAAGCATACCATGAAACTACACTTAACTGATCAGATTCGGTCTATCAAAGCACAATGTAATGCTGTATATCCAAAAATCTACTTCAGAAAATGCTCACATTTCAGTTCTAAGGGTGGAAAAATACAAAACATTTTCTAGGGGAGAATACCCCCAGACCCCTTAGTACATACGATACCACACCAAACTTTTTGTCACCAACAACCATCTGTCATCTCTCCACACTCAATATAGTATGATCCCTTTTTGTAGATGCCCACCCCCCAGACAAGTTTTTAAAAAAACCCTGTGTTCAAATCATTTTGCTGTATGAAGGTGGGCCATGGGTTAGGATTATGGTAGGACAAATGTTGCATTGCAAAGTAGTAACACATAATATATATTTTTTAATCATATATGGTTGAATCATATTCACCAGGGTAAAACATCATGAGCTAGATTAAACAGATTGTCCTAATATCTAACTTTACCTGCAACACACACCTGTTTCATTGCTGTTAATTTTTCAATCCACACTGGGGGGGGATAACTTTACCTGCAACACACACCTGTTTCATTGCTGTTAATTTTTCAATCCACACTGGGGGGGTCAGAAAAGTTTCTACTTTTGTGAGGGGGGAGGCACAAAAAGTTTGCCTTGTCTGGAGGGGGGGGGTCAAAAAAGTTTTCAATCCTTATTTTCCCCATTTACCAACCCCCCTCCCCATAAATAATGACCACCCCTTAGCATGACAAAATTGGATACATACTTCTCAATGTCAACATCATATTCTCTCGCCAAAGCTCAGTCCTGCCAGACTTTCAACCAAAATTTCGTGCTTTTGTTTGTATTTTCATTTAAATAGTTCTTTTGTTCAAGCAAAATTTGGTGCTTTTGCGTTCGTATTTTCATCTAGTTCCTCCACGACAATTTCATGTCACATTAAGTTTAAAATACCTTTCCGCCATTTTGTTTGTTTTGGGAAAATCATTAATTGTACTGCAGTACAATTAATGAAATAATTGTACTCCTCTCAACCAATCAGCATCCAGTAATTTTGTCATGCTAATAATAAACAATTTTATACGGTGGTGGTTCTTACTAATCATTTTGCCCAACATATGATACTGTACTTTTGAAAAATCCCCCTATATGCAACAAACAATTCTCTTTTAGAGAATAAAGTCAGTATCAAATACATTTAATATTAATACACTTTAATTTTACTTCCATTTATTAGTTAATATATCGCAGATTTTATTCAACCAAATCTGGAAGTGATCATTGTACCATGTATTCTGACAGAACCTTGATTAATCGTCGCAATGTTACACAAGATACTCACTCAAGCTATCGGGCAAATAGAGACTTTTTCCTACTTGTCTTGAAGTCTAGAATTATTGCTGCAGCAATGAATGTTCTTGGATTGCAATGCAAAAGCAGTCAACCAACAATCTTCCAAATACCGAAAGATCTGTTGAATTATTCGAAGCTGGAGAAACAGAAGATACTTCATGAAGCTGCTGGTATGGTTGTTGATGCATTTGTGTTTGACAAAGAGAATATAAGTGAAGCAATTGATCAAGTAATAACAGCACAAGAAAAAACTGAAATTACCAGGAGTCAGGATTTAAATGTTGATGGACGATTCCCTTGTAGATTTGAAGGATGTAAAAAATCCTTTAAGTATGATGGTAAAAGCAGGAGAAAACATGAACTGTCTCATCAACCACTACCTATTGTTCCAGAGTTACCTAGTCCAACATCAATAATCCCAAGCACTTCATATATAAGTGGTGAAATGCACACAGATGATATTTTTAATTACAACTGTGCAGTGATGACAGATGGTTTACTATTTTTGAATTTTTTAGATGCTACCTCTGAAGGGGATGGATTAAGAATCTTGAGGCAATACAAATATATGCTTCTATACTTCAAAGCAGACAAGCAACATAGCACAAAGTATGCTCTTGAATGCTTATATCAGTTTTTCATGGCATTTGCCCTTCTTTCTCCTAGAGACAGTGAACGTTTCACCTGGAATAGAACAGTAAATAATGCTGGTGGTCATGGAAATAATATTGCCCTGGATTTAAATGTTGAGCATAGCAACAATTATATCAAACAGGCAGTTAAGAATGTTGGTCCAAATTTGACTGACCAGGCAGTTAACCGCATATGTCATGCAGAGCAAGGTCTAAAAAGTCTAACTACACATATCGATAAAAGCATCGAGCGAATTTCTGGTTCAGGTAAACATTCCTGTTGCTCTACACAACAGGATTTGGATGAGCTGTTAAAGAGAATAGTTACTGCTGATGTGTTCGTTGAGGACAGAAACCGTATGTACACACATTACTCAAATTTTGAAAGAGATTCTCTTAAGAATTTGGACCACTCCAAACTGTACAAATGGATAAACATTCACAAGGACAATGTACATGATGGTATTAAGGCACGATAATTGTATTTCATTAATTAAGATACATAGTAAATTAATATTATGTACGATATATATTCAGACATTCAGTGTACAGGTTGTTGCAGTGTTATACCAAATAATACAGTATAAAAATACAAATCATATGTATGGTTCAATTATCCAATTAGCTATCTTTATGCAAGTCCAGGTGAAATGTCATATCAGGTTGGCTTGCGACTGGTAGAGCAAGTAGAGATGGGGTAAAAAGTTTATCTTACCTATTATATCATAACTACTTGCACTATATTTATGGTTTTCAAACACTCTTGGGTCTGTTATCAGTCATTAAAACTTCATTTTCTAGTAATTCCAATACGGCATCAGGAATATCATTATTTGAATGTTCAGAAGATATGCTGCTAGCATCACTACAATATCCTGACAATTCTTCTACTTCAAAGCTTTCACATAAGAGGTCTATAAAATCATCATCCTTAATTATGGCATCCCATTCAGTGTTAAGTGAGAAGTCTAATTCATCATCTGAATCATCATATGTTTCCATATCAAAGTTTGCTGTCTGTACTTCACTTGGCTCAAGAATATCCATAAATACTGATTTGACAAATGTAAGTATCATTTTTGCATGTCTCGAATGCCAAATTTCAATACGTTTATAAACATCATCCATAGTAAAAAGTTTATTGCAATTATCTACCACTTGTGAAATTTGCACATCTGAAAATCCAATTAGAAGAGGAAGATTTGTCAATGTTTTTACATGTCCTTGTGCATGTTCAGACAAAAATTTCATAACCAACGATTTGTGATAATTAGTTAACAGTTTTAACAGCTCTGTTTTTTGCTCCATGGTCACATTTCGTTCAGTACCTGGTGAATCATGAGAAGGCAATACTGATGAATATGTTATCAGGTATTTTCCACAATCAGGCAATCCACATTTGCATGCTTGAGCACAATTATCACAGCACATATGAGGTATGACAGGTGTTGCAGTTTCATCATAAGAAAAATGTTTCAGTAAACATCTTCTTCTACAGTCTTTGAGTTTTACATATTCTTTAATGTCTTGACAAACATGAGTTAGGAGTAAACCATGATATAATAAGTAAGATAAACTTTGGACCCCATCTCTACCTGCCCTACCAGTCTCCTGAATAAATGCTTCAATATTTTTTGATGGCCCAAAGTGGACCGTTCTGTGCACTCCTTTGCAATCCACTCCCATCCCAAAAGCAATAGTAGCCACTAAAATACGTATTGCACCATTTGCTTCTCTAAATGACTTTAATACAGCTTCTTTGTTACAAGATGGGGAGCATGAATGAAGCATTTCCAAAATAACATTTTTCCTATCTCCAACCTTGTCAACATACAATCTGGTTCCCAACATTTGCTTTATTGTTGCATACACAACACTACATTGATGTATTGTTTGACAATAAATAATTGTTCGTTCCATTTTCAGTCCATTATCTTGTGCTTCCATGACAAGCCAAGTAAAGTATTGCTTTATATCAGCATCCCGAGGAATTTGTTTCACGACATAGGTCATATTTGGTTTCTCAGGGCTCTCTGATATTTCATGTGGTTTCTTCATACCTAACAGATCAACAATGACATCCTTGGTATCCTTTGTAGCTGTGGCAGTTACACAAATAAAGTTGACTGAGGTATTAACAAGGGATCGAAGTTCATGTAGACGACCATAGCATTCTCTAAATGGAGCCAATTTGGAAGTAGTTGAAGTACCCCTTTATAGAAATGATAAACAAATATTGTTATTGATAACACAGCATTCTAATATAAATTCAATATTAGTAGTGGAATTTGAATAAAATAATTCAGTGCTACTAATAAAATTAATAATTTAAATTTAATGTACTAATTTGAATGATTTCATTTTTCTGATTTTCGTATAAGGTATTGAACAGTTAAATTTAATGTACTAATTTGAATGATTTCATTTTTCTGATTTTCGTATAAGGTATTGAAAGTGCTCACCATTGCTTTATCACATGGGCCTCATCAACAGCAATTGCACAAAGTTTTTCTCTATATACTTTATTCGACAACATGTGTCGCCATCGTTCGCTTTTTAGAAGACCTTCTGGAGTCGCATATACAATAGCAAACGAACCCATTTCCACTTGCTGCATTTCTTCATTCGTTGTAATATGGCTAAGACTTACAGCTGTTATTCCGACCATCCGCAAATTTTGGATCTGATCTTCTATAAGTGTAAGAAGAGGCGAAATCACGACGACAATGTGTCCTGTATTACGAGATAGTTCATCAAATGCAAACGGTAAAGCTTGGTAAATAACTGATTTACCATACCCAGTAGGCAAACTAACGAATATGTCCTCTTTTTTCTTAACAATAGAAGTAATTGCATTTTTCTGATGCACGTTTAAATAATCAAATTTAAACTTATCGCTCAGCACTTTAAACACTCGTTCCAATTCCGCCATGTTGTTCCCGCGGAATACAACAAGTCCAAGGTCATGTTTCCAAAATTTAGAAGCATTGCTGTGATTGGTTGTTTTAAGGGAATGGAATGTTGTGCTCGAGTGAGCAGCCGCTCGTGGGGGGGAGAGCGGCTGCGAAGGAGACTAGGTGTATCTGGAAAGGTCCGTTCACTTGCACCGTATGAATGAGAACGTTTAACGCGATTTCCTTTGTGTCTTGCTCATGAATAATTGTCTGAGTAAAAAGTAATTACAACGCTTACCAACAATCGTCAATCTCAAGCCAAATCACTTCACATCTCTGATTTCACATTCACAAATAATCACAATTGCATCCTTTAACAATGACAATGACAATCAATTTCGAGCTGCCGTAAAGCGTGCGCATTAGTTAATACGGTTACAATTTTCAAACCGTTTCTTCCGCACTATTAATACTAATCCAATTATTGTATAAATCGTTTCCCACGCCTTAGGGGGCGTGACCTGTCAAAACGTGGTTTATTCATTGGGAAAATTAAAGGTTGAAATTTCAAACGTAAACAATTGAAACAAACCTTGGCCAATGGGATCTAAAAAATTACAATTCGGACTGGCGCTTTAAGCTTTCGTGTCTGCTACTGTGCTTTCGGTGATTTTGTGCAATTTCGGCGCCCCATTTATGCTTTGGCGCCCCCTAAAAAAGTTTCGCAGGGGGGGCCATGGCCCCCCGGGCCCCCCTGCCCCCCCTGCCAGCACGCCACTGCGCGTTAATGAGTCAGAATAGAAATAATTCTTAATGCCATATTGCCTTCGTTATGTTGTTTTTTTCTCATTTTTTGTGCTGCAAAGACTGCAAAGACATTGCAGGTGAATATTAGAGGGGATTATTAAATTGCAGGGGAATATTAGAGGGGATTATTAAACGGAAATTGATTAGAGGGGAATATTTTAATATATTCCCCGATAAGAACAAAGGAAACCGAGCCGGGTGAAAAATAATGCTGAATACAACGGAAATTGATTAGAGGGGAATATTGAATATATTCCCCGATAAGAACAAAGGAAACCGAGCCGGGTGAAAAATAATGCTGAATACCCAAAGCACGTTGTCTTTGTAACGTTAAAGACGTTGAAGTTTTGTAAAATCAGTGGAGCCTACTTGCTGCAGCTTGCTCAAGCAGGTAATAAGATTATATCGAGCAAGCAGCAATCGAGCAATCTTATAAGATTATAAATGGTTGATAATAGATTAGTATTAGCTAAATATTTGCATCATTATGTAGAGATAGCTAATACGATATTGCAGGACTATCGGCACAGAAAGTATGTTTGAACTAAATAACGCTGCTTTTGATAATAGCTATAGGATGGGGAGCTGATCAGTAATTAGCCTACAAAGTAGGTGTTTAATTTGGGTGTGCCTGAAAAATTAAGTGTAATTGCCTTCTTTGCAGACTAATCAGTAATAGTTTTTGCAACTTATTTGAATTTATTATTATTATTATTGTTATTATTATTTAAAAATATTTAAAAACGGTAGTCCTTCATAGCACGCATAGGCACCTGTTTTTCAAGGAGCCGTTCCCCGGGCCCCCACCTTAATAGGGCCACGACTTATGCGCTTTCAAAAATGTGTTATAGACAAAATGCTTGGTAAATATCAAAACGGGACTACTTATAACTGCCATAAACAAGAATTTAGATTTTTTGGCTCAAACTTGCTCTTTTTTTAGGATTTTCTCTTTTTGCCGACCCCCCAACAGCCGCGTTCCCTTTCTTTAACCGTACTAAGATTACGATGCCCAATCTCGATCGTGTTATTTATAATCGCTTTGCCGCCAATCCCTTCGCAATCAACCAATTATTTTCCTTATTACCGCAGCACAATACGGTTCCAACAGAGATTGCAGTATTGATCATGATAACATTTGTCATTAAGTGATCATTAAATGACGGAAATATTTTTTTAATATTCAAGAATAAAGTCCTGAGTTGGAATTTGAAAAATTCTTTAGCATAAATCCCTTCGCAATCAACCAATTATTTTCCTTATCACCGCAGTACAATACGGTTGCAGCAGAGACTGCAGTATTGATAACATTTGTCATTAAGTGATCATTAAATGACGAAAATAATTTTTTAATATTCAAGTATAAAGTCCTGACTTGGAATTTGAAAAATTCTTTAGCATAAATACATGCTGGACGAAACAAATTCTGATATTAGAAAATGTTAAAAAATTTCGACAAAGTACTAGGAGAAAAGGCATAATGTGACTTGCAAATATTTCAAGAATCAGAATTTCTTGTGAACTCGGATACGGATTAGGAAAAAACACATTGCTGTATTTAAAGTTTTGTGGTTTAAGATTATTCTGCGCAACCATGCAAAAATTAGTCACCTGTATTTTCACAAGTAACATCTAATTAAACTGTCATTACCTCCAATTCACCAACTGAGATTCTGGAAAGTGATTGCAGCGATGGGGCATCTTTAACAAGATTTTGGGCCCAGTTTTTTGTCACATCAATGCCTTTAGCACTCAATCCACCAAGAACCTCAAGTTTTGGACCTAGTCGTCTTCTTACAGCATCCAGTCCATCTTTTTCAACATCACCTTTAGGATGAGTGAAAAAATATTGAGCGAGCTCCTCTTTTGTGGTCAAATATTTCAGCACAAGATGGAGTCCTTCCATGTTCAAGCCATTTTCTTGTAGCATTTCCCCCAACTCGCTATTTATACCACGACAAGATACAGCTTTAAGGTCGGAATGAAGCTGTCTTTTCACACTTTCCTTGCGAATTTCCGAAATGTTTTTGTACAATTCTCGAATGAGGCCTTCGCATGCCTTCGGGTTGTCTTCAGGAAGGTTCTTAATTTGAGCCTTTATTTGCACCATTTCCGACATATCCTGTTCGTTTAAAATGTTTTCTTTCTTTGGCTTCCCGTCAGGCATGACTAGTCTTTTAGCGTCTCCTAAAGTGTGAAATCCTAAAGTGTGAAAAAGGAAGTAAGATAACTGTGGATTGCGACAGATGCAACCACGTGATCGCGATTGACACGTGATCGCTCTTATATTCACTAATACAGAAAAATTTCGACACCAACAGACTGCGAGGTAGTCAGAACACAAGCTAACTGTATATGGCAGTAACGAGAGACGAGGTTGTGGCGTATTGGATACCTGAATAGCTATGAGGGTCCTTGGGCATGCTCCCTCGGAGAAGTTTTAATTTTAGAAGTCCAGAATCACAGAATGGCCATTTTCTACGTTTTTAGAGTGACAATTGGTTTTGATTTTGCTTTAAATATCTGTATGAGCGCTTAATTTATAACTAATTTTCATCCACAGCTCGAGAACACAATTTAAAATTACCCATTTTGGAAAATTGGCACTAGTATAAAAAAAGCTTGTGTAATTTTCCGAAAACCCCGCTACTAACTTTCCGACGAACGGCCTTGAAACGTCAAAGTTCTTCTTGTATTTTTCATGTACATATACCTATATATATACATAAGTGTGTCATTCGATGTAAGATGCTTATATTACCTTGCTACATTGAATTAATACTTCCACACTTGATCCAACTGTACACTGTATCCCTGTATATATATACATATATATATATATATATATATATATATATATATATATATATATATATATATATATATATATATATATATATATATATATATATATATATATATATATATATATATATATATATATATATATATATATATATATATTATATATATATATATATATATATATATATATATATATATATATATATATATATATATATATATATATATATATATATATATATATATATATATATACATATAATATATATATATATATATATATATATATATATATATATATATATATATATATATATATATATATATATATAAGATTTGGTTTCGTTGGTTATAAAAACTTTTGGTAAAGTGCTCAATAGAAAACCAGAGCATATTTAAATTAAGGTACAACAATCAACAAAATCCACTAGGCATCTTTATTACTAAATAGTTTCGTACCACAAAATGTGGCACTCTTCAGATAAATTGACCTAATGACTATAGACTAAAACTTACAAGGTTATATATGTATACAAGTGGATGAGACTTTAAAAACTTAATCCTATTTACAAACCACGCGATTTAATTAACATGTTATGTGATAAGCTGACAGGACGCGGAAAGATTAACACACCGCGGTATATTTAAATGTCTAGCTTTTTAAATGTTACTTAAAAGGAATTTTTTATTATGGCTACATGCAGACACTAACTCATTTCGTTTGTTTAAAGTGGCAATTTTTGGCATACAAATAATAAAGTATTTCTCCCATAAACACAAATTACACCGATTTGAAGCACAGTTATAAGGCTTAGCTCGTTTCAATAGTTTCCATTTGATTGTATAATTGATGTTTTTGTTTTTCAATTCCCACACGTATTTGCTTAGTTCGGTAGCGTTCCGTTTTTCGAAAGAGTTGAATGATGCTTTATGGTTTGCAAGTCTAGTTTTAAACGAGTTTTCTGTAAGTCCGACATATGTTTGGGGAGGTCTATTTGTTGCTTTGTTCTTAGTAGTGACTGTGGCTTGATATACAACCGATTCAGTGGTACATTTGTTAGATAGTGGGCACAGTTCTTTATTGCTTTTAGGGCAACTACACATGTTAAGACCACTAGTGCTGGAAATTGCAGCCAACGTAGATTTGTTGTGTCCATCGATAGTCTGCTTGATGTTTGGCATAAAGCTGTAGCTAATCTTGACTGTATTACGGTTGAATATCTTGTGTAGTGGGTGATCTGCGGGGAATTCCTCGTCAATTATTTTCAAGAAGGTTTGTCCAACATTAGTCGAAACATTCTTACTATATGGTGGGTTATACCAAATAATTTTTCTTTTACGGCTTCGGGTACTCTTGTTATTCGATTGGTTTAGGGGGTGTTTAAACAGTAGTTTGTGGGTATAACCACTTTTGTCAAGGGCTTGCTGATAGGACGGGGAGGCTTGTTCGAATGAATCTGGATCAGAGGATATCTCGGTTAGTCGTTTGTTAATGGATAATGGAATATTACGCAGAACACTGCATGGGTGGGTGGTTAGACTTGCTATGCACGTAAAGAGGTGTGTTATTAGGCTTAGAATGTGGGTGATATTTACCGGTGGTTAGATTTAGTGTGACGTCAAGGAAATTTACGATTTTCTTGTTAGCCTCGATAGTAATTTTCAAACCATGGTTGTTGAACAAGGCGCACAAATCCTTCTTAATTAGTTCTATTTGGCGTGGTGTTGCTTTGATAATGCCCAAGCCGTCGTCTCTATATAAACCAAACTTATTACCGCAAATGTACCACTGAATCGGTTGTATATCAAGCCACAGTCACTACTATAAGGACAAAACAACAAATAGACCTCCCCAAACATATGTCGGACTTACAGAAAACTCGTTTAAAACTAGACTTGCAAACCATAAAGCATCATTCAACTCTTTCGACAAACGGAACGCTACCGAACTAAGCAAATACGTGTGGGAATTTAAAAACAAAAACATCAATTATACAATCAAATGGAAACTATTGAAACGAGCTAAGCCTTATAACTGTGCTTCAAATCGGTGTAATTTGTGTTTATGGGAGAAATACTTTATTATTTGTAAGCAAACAAACGAAATGAGTTAGTGTCTGCATGTAGGCATAATAAAAAATTCCTTTTAAGTAACATTTAAAAAGCTAGACATTTAAATATACCGCGGTGTGTTAATCTTTCCGCGTCCTGTCAGCTTATCACATAACATGTTAATTAAATCGCGTGGTTTGTAAATAGGATTAAGTTTTTAAAGTCTCATCCACTTGTATACATATATAACCTTGTAAGTTTTAGTCTATTGTCATTAGGTCAATTTATCTGAAGAGTGCCACATTTTGTGGTACGAAACTATTTAGTAGTAAAGATGCCTAGTGGATTTTGTCGATTGTTGTACCTTAACTTATATATATATATATATATATATATATATATATATATATATATATATATATATATATATATATATATATATATATATATATATATATATATATATATATATATATATATATATATATATATATACGAGTAGGTTTGTGTATACGAAACGCAAAGAGTGCTAAACATCATATATATAATGTCACTCTGCGCATGTCACTCTGCGCATGTCTGGATGCGTTGATGGCCCGTGTTGTACCACATGCTCTTGGGAGAGCAGATGTCATGTATGTCAACACGAAAGTCATTGCGTGTATACATGTGTACCAAGCTGCACTGATGAGGCGTAGGACGTCGAAACATGCATGTCTGCAGATTGTACTATATTACGCTCCTTCACTTCGGTGTTGTAGAGCACTCTGTCACAGAATAGATAATAGGAAAAGAAGTCTTACTCAAGCGGAAACATGTCTCATCTTTTATACTGCGCATGCGCGAGTTAAACAAGTGTAATGCAGTGTTGACAATTAAAAATCATATTGGGAAGTTGTCATTTCTACAGTAAAAACAGCTTTTTTTTCAAGTAGTACGAAATGTGACTTCGATTTATCTGTGGAACTATTTGAACAGAAGGTAAAGCAGTAATTTTGTTGTATTTAGAAAGCAAACAGGGTCATATTTTTAAAAATATAGCGCACTGAATATAAATCTGAGCATCATTAAAATGTGTTCGCTATGAGGCCAATATCATTGAACTTTCATCCCGGCAACCGGGCTAGCCTGCTTATGATTGTTTATGTGGAGAAATTTCCATCCTG